CACACACACACACACACACACACCTTATTTTAGAGAAGGGAGAGAGAGCACGTCTCTGGCTGACTACAAGTTTCTTTATCTAGCTTCCTTCCAAATCTCCTGAGGACAGAGACTAACCAATGTTTACCTTCTGTAATCCCCCAAATCTCTCTGGGGCCCAGGTTATTCAGTAAACTTCAGTAACGAAGGTCAGATGGCAGAAGGAAGGGACATACACGGAATTGGAGGCCTCCATTTCCAGCTGAACTTCCCTGTGTGACGGCTAAGCGGCATTGGACCAATCACCAGACTCCCCTTCTGGCCTCTGCTTTCTCATCTGTGAAATGGGAACAATAGCCAACCAGTCTACGTTACTTAATGTTGTTTCCAGTGAACCTTCTATGAGGAAGGAGCAGTTTATTAGCAGCAAAGGGGTGGACACATGAGGGCATCGCTTATGCTGTTAATGACTGTTAAATTGTTATAGACTATGGATGACTGCCATTCTTTGCTTGACATGAAAACAGCTCAGGGATAAGCAATCACAGTTTCAGAGAGCTTCGGAATTTGGATTGGAGTGGTTCTTTTGTAAGCAGAGCTCATGTAGTAGGTCTTATTTTGTTTCTTCGATTAATAGGACAATTCAGTTACAACCGATGGTATTGCAGCCCCGCATCCCTAGGGAGGGTTTGCAGGGTTAAGGAAGAGTAAATTCCTATGCACAAGTATCTTGGTAGCAAGGTAGCACCTTGGTAAGAAGATATCCACCAAAACACTAAAACTCAGCACTCAGAAGGCCTGCATACCAGTGTACGTGGGAAAAGCAATAGCTTATCTAATGGGGCGGCTCCTCTCTCAGAATCATCTACAATGGATATGATTAAGAAGCTGCAGCTGCTTCTACCAAGAGCAAGCCTAGCTCTTCTGTTTTTCAGAATTATAAAAATGTAGCTAAACGGAGATAATGGAAGTTGCTTTTGGAGCGCTATCTTGCAGACTGTCTTTGCACAAGATATTGACAGGAAATGTCTGCACATTTTGAGAGCCTCCTGAATCTTCAGCAGTTTTTTTCCCCTGACATATACCAAGCACCCAACACATGATTGTTCATACGAATGAATGAGCAAATGAACCAGCAGCCTAAAAGAGAGGCAGCTCTTGATCCCCAAACATTGTGGAGCCAAAACAGTAAGCTTTGACAGTGATGAGGGTGGGAGAAAAGACTGTCATATCTTAAGAATCAAATAAAATAGAAAAGAAAGCCAGGCACGGTGGCTCACACCTGTAATCCTAGCACTTCGGGAGGCCAAGGTGGGTGGATCACAAGGTCAGGAGATTGAGACCTTCCTGGCTAACACAGTGAAACCCCGGCTCTACTAAATATACAAAAAATTAGCGGAGTGTGGTGTTGCATGCCTGTAGTTCCAGCTACCTGGGAAGACGAGGCAGGACCACTTGAACCTGGGAGGCAGAGGTTGCAGTGAGCTGAGATTGCACCGCTGCACTCCAGCCTGGGCGATACAGCAAGACCCAGTCTCAAAAAAAAAAAAAAAAGAAAAGAAAAGAAAAGCAATTAAACTTTTTTTAAGAAATTACTCTTACTTAAAAGACTTAAGAGGATTTAAGTAGATGCATGTGAGCAGTAGGAAGTAAGAGTCGCTGAGATTTATTCCACAATCATGTTCTGAGCGTCTTTTGTGCCAGCCATGGTACTGACCTTGGTACACAGTGGTGAGCAAACCAGCCCTAGCCTGTAGACTTGGGGCTTTCCTGTAGTGGGAGAAAATGACTTACTGTTAAATGCATGGTGTGAACCAAAGCGGAGATATGAGGGAAAGAATTGAGGCCCTGTAGAAGCATCCGGCAGAGGAAGCACAGGCTGGAAGAAGGCTTCTCTGAGGAAGTGAGGTTTGAGCGTGGATCTGCAGGAAAAGTAGAACATTCCACGTGGAGAGCAAAGGCCTCCGTGGCGGAAGGAGCCGGAGGGTGTTTGAGGACCTCGCTAGGGGCTGAAGCCCTGGAGCGTGAAACTGAGGGGCAGGTCAGTGAGCAGTTGCTGTAGCCACAGCGTGGTCTGTTATTTCTGAGAGTCTGAAATCTCTGAAGAGGATACTAGGCAGAAATGCTAATGAGAACACGATGTTTCAGGTGGTGAGAGTCGATAGAGTAGGCATTTGGAGGGATGTCCTCTCCCCATTGTGGATCTACCAGAACAAAATCTAGAGAATGCACAAAGGAACCAAACAATGAGCTGTCAGGCTCTAAGTGGGGAGGGCGTGTGATAGAACGTGGACCTGTTCCCGCATCCCCACCCCAGGCCTGATACTGGCTGTGTGGCTAGGGACATCACAGTTTTAATTTTACACAATATTTGGTTTCTTTTAGAAAATATTTTCCCAGATAAAAAATGCCAACATTTGTGAATGGTGGCAGTGGATACATGTGTAGGTTTTATTATTCGATTTTTTCTGTATATTACAAGTTTTTTGATTAGAAGGGAAGACTTTTTTTTCAATTTGAAGAGGGGTCGGTAGAGGAAGGAAGTAGGTGCTGGGAATGGTTTAAGAGTCAGGGTCCTATTCCTAGATCCAAATTGGCTCAGGCAAATCATTCTCTGGTCCTCTGATGCCTTTTCTAAGGAGAAGAATTTTGAAGACGATGATGTTGGAAATAGCTTCTGACTCTAAAACATTCTGTGATGCTAACTTTTTAAAAACAGTTGATTATTGAATAATTCTATTTATAGGCTTGGGAATTCAGTGCCTCATGCCCACTAATCCCCCGATTCTTTTTGTTTTTTGTTTTTGAGACGGAGTCTTGCTCTGTTGCCAGGCTGAGGTGCAGTGGTGTGATCTCTGCTCACTGCAACCCTGCCTCCTGGGTTCAACTGATTCCTCTGCCTCAGCCTCCCAAGAAGTTGAGACTGTAAGTGTGCGCCACCACGCCTGGCTAATTTTTTGTTATTTTTAGTAGAGGCAGGGTTTCACCATGTTGGCCAGGATGGTCTCAATCTCCTGACCTCATGATCTGCTGCCTTGGCCTCCCAAAGTTTTGGGATTACAGGCATGAGCCACTGCGCCCGGCCTAATCCCTGATTCTTTAAAAGTAAGAGGAACCATTTTGCTTGGCACAGGATACCCAATAGCTCTCTAGTAAGGAAGCTCGTGCGTTGAAATTCGTTTGCTCAGAGACGTTTTCAGAAGCTGTGAACCCACAGGCTGCTCACGTGCATTCTGGACCAGATGTGGGACTCTGGACCCACCCGGAATGCCGTGCCTCTGTGTTAGGCATCATGCCACTCACCACGCGCCTTCCAGCGGCTCCTCTCTGGCTTAGCAGGGTACCTACCGAGTCCTTCCTCCAAATTTTAGATGAGAAATGTAGGAATGAAAGGAAACAACCCAGCAGACAGGCTTGTTTCACATGTCACTGTGTGTCAAAATCAGAGGTATGTCTTAGATTGTAGCTTCTTGGGAAAAAAAAGTTGTCCCATGAATTTGGGGGTTTTGTTTTGTGTTTGGACATTGTCCAGGAGGCATGATGGGTCACCTGGAGCTTCATCAGTACCGCTGAGTGGGGACGGTGGTGTGCACGGTCAGCTTTCCAGTTGTATCAGCGACATCCTCCAGCCTGCCCCATCCCGCGGGGACGTAGCAGCCGGTGGACAGGAGCCCACACCCCACAGCAGCAAAAGAAGCCCGAGGAGCGGCCGTGCGGGCTCTCCACTGAGTCAGCAGGGAACGGCCTTCAGGCCCCAGCTGCCTTTGCAGCCTCCTCTCCAGTTTCTCTTACTTGGGTCAAGTTTCCTTACAATGCTTCGAATGCATGAGAATAAGAAGGTGTGTGCTGGCAGAATTTCTGCTGAATAATGCCAAGGCTTTCCAAGTCAGAGCATGAATTTAAGCGGAGCAAAGTCCCCAGTCAATGGACTCAGAGTAATGGCTATTCTGCTAATCATGAAAAGTACAAATGTTTTTGCCTTTAAAGGCTCACAAAAGGGCTGCTCAGTTACAAACTGGAAACTACTCTGGATCTTCGCTTTATGGCACTTCTTTTTTGTAGGTGATTAGAAACATTTTCCACTTAGCATTTAAGGGTTTGAATAGACTCGTGACTTTTTTTGAACTAAAGTTTCCTCTTTTTTTTTTTTTAAACTAACATTTTTCTTTTTTTGCAAGTAGACTAAAGATTTAAAGTCACAGGTTTTCCAAATATTGAAACTCTGCCTGCATGATTATTATATTTGCTGTGGGGATTAACACTTTTCCAAAGTACGTTTCCACACAAGATCCTTGTTTTGCCCCGGAGTTTGGTTCTTCACAGCTTATTATGCAGATTTAGGCAAAATGGACCAAGCCCCATCCACTAGAACTTCCATTATAAAGGCAATCGTTTCAAATAAAATGGAAGCCGTTTATCTTAATGAACCAAGAGGAAAATGAAATCTGCTGAAATGATCTGAACCCTTAAAAAATTGGTAATTTATCATGGCTATATTTATTTGTATTAGTTTCTCTACGCTGCCCATTTTATTGACTTTCCACTGCCACCACCAAATGCTGTAGTATTTTCATTCCTTACGTTTTTTATTAGCAGGGCCACTTCTCCCTTAATAAAACCATGCCTTTTCCCCACTCCTCCGTTTCAGAGCATTCGGGGCCATTCCTGGTAAGAAGCCAGTGTTGGATAATGTTCCCATTGTGGCGTTGGGCGGCAGAGTGCATGGATAATGGTTCCTGTTTTTCCCTCCAAATGGAGGGAAGACACAGACGTAATTGAAACTTACAATGTCAAGGGGTAATTTTATTCCATTATTTTTAATGAAAACGGGGAGGTATCACCTAGCTAAAATGCTGGAAAATAGCCTCCTAGTAGCCCTAAGCACCCACGTGTGGCTGAATGCAGGTGGGATGGAACCCTGTTCCCTCTTGCCTCCCTCCCCCAAATAGAGAGATGCCATCAGTGGTCGGGAAATGCAGCGAGCCACAGGTAATGAGCTCAGTCTCTATTTTCCTTGTCAGATCTCCCAGCTGATGACAGAGAGTGGCCGGGAGGGACTGACCGAGGCAGTGCTGAATCGCTACAATGCAGACAAGCCTTCTGCCTGCAGCGTCCCCGCCTCACAGGGCTCCTGCTTGGCCAGCGAGACTTCTGCAGGCACCTCGGTGGCCGCTTCCTTCTTTGCACGGTAAGAGAGCCGTTCAGATCCTGGGTTCTTTCCGCTGTGCGTGCCTGGTTAACCTCTCGCGTCGACTAGTTCGGCTGAAACACCAGAAAGCATTTGGGGAGGTTCTTTGATGTCGCTGTTTACGGGACTTTCTCAACCATGGCACTTTGACATCTTGGGCCAGCTAACTTGTGGGGACTGTCCTGTGTGTTGGAGGGTGGTTTGGAGGGTGTGCCCCTTGGCGTATGCCTGAAGGACCCTCCCTGAGTTGTGACTACCAAAAATGTCCCCAGATATTGTCAAAAAGCCCTGGGGTTGAGAACTGTTGCTCTCTTTTTTTTAAGATGGGGTCTCGCTCTGTCACCTAGGCCGGAGGGCAGTGGAGTCTCACTCTGTCACCCAGCCTGGAGTACGGTGGAGTCTGCCTCCCAGGTTCAAGCAATTCTCCTGCCTCAGCCTCCCGAGTAGCTGGGACTACAGGCATGCACCACCATGCCCCGCTAATTTTTGTATTTTTAGTAGAGACGGGGTTTTGCCATGTTGACCAGGATGGTCTCGATCTCTTGACCTCATGATCCACCTGTCTCGGCCTCCCAAAGTGCTGGGATTACAGGCGTGAGCCACCGCGCCCGGCCTAATTTTTGTATTTTTAGTAGAGACGGGGTTTCACCATGTTGACCAGGATGGTCTGAATCTCCTGACCTCGTGATCCACCTGCCTCGGCCTCTGAAAGTGCTGGGGTTACAGGCGTGAGCCGCCGTGCCCGGCCTGGGAACCACTGCTCTCGTGATGTGTAGCTGTAAAGATGTCTTCCTTTGGATAAGAACTTTTGTAGGGGGATCCCTCTGGCGAGTGTTTCCAGATTTAGCTTCTCATTCTAGAAACTTAACTGCTTAAAAGCTATTAAATGGATGGCTGGGGGGTTTTTACTCCTTCTTGATAGAGGAGCCAGAGAGTTATCAAATACTATCCAGCTAAACTTGGGAACTTTAAAAATATAAGAAACAAAAAAGAAAGGTATTTCAACAATGTTTTCTCCCTAATTTTAGCAACAAGGCAGAGACGGGGCAGGAGACTAAGGACAGCTGAGCAGGAAAGGACTTCAGGGATTGTCTGGTTCCAGCTCCTTATTTATGAGTGAGAAAAACGGGGACCAGGGAAGTTCCACTAGGAGCAAGTTATAGCACAGCCAGAAATGGAAACTGGATTTCTCTACGTTTTTCTCTGTATCTTTTTTTTTGCGATGGTGTCTCGCTCTGCCACCCAGGCTGGAGTGCAGTGGTGCAATCTCGGCTCACTGCAACCTCTGCCTCTTGGGTTCAAACGATTCTCCCGACTCAGTCTCCTGAGTAGCTGGGACTACAGGCATGCCCCGCCATGCCCAGCTAATTTTTGAATTTTTAGTAGGGATGGGATTCCATGTTGACCAGGCTGGTCTCGATCACCTGACCTCGTAATCCGCCTGCCTCGGCCTCCCAAAGTGCTGGGATTACAGGCATGAGCCAACGCACCCAGCCTGCAACTCATTTTTTAAATTTAATATTTGGAACTGAGCCTTAGAAAACTTTCTCTGCCTAAGATTTGCAAACCTCTGAGTGAACAGGGCCTAGAATAAATATGGTAGCATCAGATATGAAATCGTGAGACCATTTGGGTTCAAGTTGCAGTTCGGCCTCAGCTTCGCCGTCTATGAAATGATATACCTCCTCTACAGGATTGCTCTGAAGACTGAAATAGGGTGATGAGAAGTGATAAAGTGCTGTAGAAGTGGTGACCGCGATGGCAGTGAGAAGGAAGCTGTGTGGCTGTTCTGAATGGTGGCATCCAAAACTCAAATGTGAGGAAGGGGGGCTGATTAGGACAGGGACAAGGCAGAGGAGGACAGAGGCACCCTAAAGGCAGCACATGCGGCTTGTTGGAAGACCAGCTTTGAGGGTCCTGATTGTCCCTGGGTGCCATGTTGATTGTCCTGTGAACACTTGGGCCAACTCGAATGTTGGGAGGTGAAAGGAAATGTGTACAGGCTGGCCACCCAGCAATGAGGACCCTGTGGGATCCTTGTCTGTACGTGAATCTCTGTGTTGTCCCAGCCCATTAAGCAGGGACTCCAAGCTCACGGGGAGGCCATGGCCATGCCACTTAGGGAGAGAATGATGGGAGGGAACAGTTATGAGGAAATGTCACAAGCACAGGAGCTCCTAGGAGGTTATTTGAGCACGTCCAAAGGAGGGTGACTAAGAAGCGCTCTCACGGCAGGTTCCGTTTGGAGAAGAGAAGGATTCTGGGGTGTACCATGGATGCTCTTGGCTCTCTCTCGGGCTGTCGTATAAACGGAGATTGGCTGGTTTTGTAGAGCAGCCAAGTATGTAGGCAAAGGCTAAGTCATGAGGGAGGACACGCATCCCCAGCTCAGAAGGCAGAACTTGCAATTTCGATGGCTTGAGGAGAGAGTGAGATTTGTGTCCCTGAGGGAGATGAAAGTTATGTTGAGTAATTACCTGGCCTTGGTACCAGAAGGAACGTTCAGTGCTCAGATGGGAATTGACTTCCGATGTGCCTTTCTAACCTGAAATTCTTTGAACGTGGAAAGCCTTCCATTCAGTTCCAGCCAGAGAATTTTACAGGAGGCTTACTGACTCACAAGACAATCCAGGAAAAATCTAAAGCAGGAAGAAATGAGAGGTGAGGGCTCCCCGTGGGCAGAATTGAAGGAGAACAGGAGCTCAGGTGCAAGGAAGGGACGTGGGGATGAGATGTGCTGGGAACCTGAGTGTGTTGGACAAGCAGTGTGCCCAAGGCCGGAGGTCGGGATATCAGAGGGGGGATTTACAAACAAGCAAGCAGACGTCAGGGAAAGGATGGCAAAGCACTGGCCAAGCCTCAGGTGGCACGGAAATACTGAGGCAAAACCTACCCCGCATGGGCTGGTGACGCAGCTGGGGCGGCCGTGCCGGTGACGCAGGCAGCAAACAAATGCTGGAAACCCATGACTTTGGAGTGACGAGGGCTTGAGATGTGAGCTTTCAAAGAGCTGGAAAGGATCCGTAAGGCCCCCAAAGCTTTATGATGACTTTCTTTGCCGTGAACGCTGGTAGCACTCGACACTTAATGGAATGAGCATTAAAAGCACGTGGTTTGTATTCAGAGGTTTACAGTGCACAGTGGGAAACAGTACCGTGTGAAAAGAACGATCTTTACAGATATCTCCCGCCCTTTACTCATGCCCATGCCTCGCCCTGTTGTTCTCATCGTTGGTGAGGCCTATTCTTAGCTGGATGTTCCCACCTCCCAACGAGAGAGACGGCATATGAATAACCTCCCTGCCGCTGAGGGCACCGAAAGCTGAAGTGTGGATGACCGGCTCCAGGCCCGTCATGCCAAGAGGCAGACCCAGGGGTGTCTCTGACCCCTTTACATCCTCTGCTGTCTGTGTGATAGCCAAAACCTGCCCAGCTTATGTTGTCAGACTGTAAACTGAGTTCAATAAGCCTTTTGGTTTTAGCTGACGCGGAGCTGTGTAAGGTGATGGTCATGACAGCTTTTGGTATGTGTCTGTCCTCATAGGGGTTCGGGGGCGGAGTCAGCTCCTACACCTCCAGTCTGTGCTTACCACTTTCAGCTTTTCCTGCCTGACTGCAGTGGAGACATAGTCCTCTGAGCGTGCAGGGCCCTGGAGTCAGGGCACAAGGGTGGCCAGCTCTCAGGAAGCTGTCCTGGTCCAGGCATGGTGGCTTACACCTGTAATTCCAGCACTTTGGGAGACCAAGGTGGATGGATCACATGAGGCCAGGAGTTCAAGACCAGCTTGGCCAACATGGCGAGTCCCCGTCTCTAATAAAAATACAAAAATCAGCCGGGTGTGGTGGTGCATGTCTGTAATCCCAGCTACTTGGGAGACTCAGACATGAGAATCGCTTGAACTCAGGAGGTGGAGGTTGCAGTGAGCTGAGATGAGTCACTTTACTCCAGCCTGGGTGACAAAGCAAGACACAGTCTCAAAAAAAAGAGGGAAAGAAGGAAAGAAGGGAAGGAAGGGAAGGAAGGAAGGAAAGAAAAAGGAGGAGGAAGAAGGGAAGAAAAAAAGAACAAAAGAAAGAAAGAAAGGGAGGAAGGGAGGAAGGAAGGAAGGAAAGAAAAAGAAAAAAGGAAGGAAGGAGAGAGAAAAAGAAAGAAAGTGAGAAAGAGAAAAGGAAAGAAAGGGAAGGAAGGAAGGAAAGAAAAGAGAAAAGAAAAGGAAAAAGAAAGAGGCAGCGGCTGTGCTGGGGCCATTTCATTTCTGTGGGAGGGATGGCATTTGCCACATTTGTGGCCCACGTGGCCGACATTTACGGAGCACTCAGTAAGCAGCACTCACTGTTAACTAGCTCTTCATATGCAGAGCCTTCATTTTCAGAGAGGCCCTGTGAGGCACAGCCCGTCACCTTCTCTGTCTTGTGGATAAAGAAGGTGGTTCCCTGAGTTGCTGACCCAAAGCCACGCAGCCAGGAGTGGGAGTGGGAACTCCACCCTCATCTCCTCTCCCTTGAGGGCCCATGTCCCTATTCTCTGCACTAAACAGACACAGTGAGGCACTGTATTATAGGGTGTTTTGTTTTTGTTTACTGTAACCATGAACTGATGATTGCTTATAAAACATGTTTGAAACTCCTAGGCCCTGGGATTTGAGAAGCTGAGTCGAACAACAATAGCACAAACAACAGAAAACCCCCTCTTTGTTGAGGGTCACAGATGTTTACTTTCTTCTGTGATATTAACCTTTATTTAAAATGTATTTATTTTTATTTAAAAATTTTTTTTTTTATTTTTTGAGACAGAATCTCACTCTCACTGCAGCCTCAGCTTCCCAGGCTCTAGTGATCCTCCCACTTCAGCCTCCTGAGGAGCTGGGACCACAGGAATGTACCGCTGTGCCCAGCCACTTTATTTTTACTTTTTGTAGAGATGGGGTCTCCCTGTGTTTATTGCCCAAGCTGGTCTTGAACTCGGGCTCAAGCAATCCTCCCACCTTGGCCTCCCATAGT